CAAAAAACAAACAAAAAAAAGGGGGGGGGGGGAAGACATGTTGCCCAGTTATTGCATACTATTTCCACTGAAGAAAAACAATGCTTTCAAAAAAAAAAGTTTCACTATACCACTTGCAGCATATACAAACAAAAAGTACAGTTCCGTTAGGGTTGTCAACTTCTTAGCAACTCTCTCCTCAACCATTTTTAGTTATTACTTTTTTTTTTTTTTAAATAGAAAAGTGCTTTTCGATTTTAAGGATGCCAAGGGGAAGTTTGTTTTATTTCATCTCTTATTTGTGGTGATTATTCTGAACTACTCCAGATATTTGCTAATAAGCTAAAGTTGAATTTTACTACCTGCGTAAAACCCCACCTCCTCCAAGATGACCAAAAAAACATTCTAGCATTTTCTTAAATTTGGGCTTAAATAAGCAATTAAATCTTATATTGAATATAGGGTTCTTTTCAAGTGATACAAAGTATCTATTCTGACCACATTCAAGTTTCCAATGCAATATAATTTCAATTGTAATACTAACAAGCTTCATTACTTCTAGATCCCCTCTCCTCCTAGGAAAAAAAAAAAAAGGACTTTTTAATGGCAAAATTGGCTCACATGTATCATGGAACAGGTCTTTTTTTTTTTTTTTTTAAGTCGTAACTTAATCTCAAAAGAAAAGACATTTGAAAAAAGACATTTGAAAAAACTAAACACATTGAAGTACCAAAAGATCTTAAAATAGTAGTGGAATTGCTAGTTATAAGCTTATACCTTTGCCTGTCTCACTGAAATAAAAATGACTATTCTTCAACAACATACGTCCATCTTCTTCAGAGCAAAAAAAAAAAAAAAATCACTGACCCAAGTCAGAACTTCTTAAGCCACCTCTACAGTGACACTGAGCAACAGTTCCTCGTGCCAGTTCACTGTCACAGAACTGTTTCTTTTTTAAAGAAAAGAGAATAATGTTGTAAGGCTATTTTTCTGGAAAGCAGACCAAACTTACCAAGAAAGTAGTTTTAAGGGAGAACAGAAATCAAGGCCAATGCTCGCTCAGTCACACAGAAAACATTTCCTTGTACTAGGACAGTTGTGTGACACAGGTTACCTTCTTTAAACCCCTTTGCATTTTACTATGGATCAGATAAAGAAGGGACACGCTTTTCAACTAGCAAGTGAACATCTTACTATGAACGTTAAGCCATCCAGTATGAGCGAGTTTTCAAGCAGGCTTCTTCATTACTTGTCCTGTATAAGTTTGACCACTCTTGATAGTACTTTCCCGCAATATAAGCGGAATCATAGAAAATGTCACACAAATGACAACATGGTTACATTGCTTGCAGCTAACGCAGGTTTCATAAGCAAACAGTAAAACGAAAACAGAAATGTTATGTTCAACTCTAAAAGCTATCAGAAAAAGCAGGACAGAGACATATTTCAAGTATTTTGTGGTTTGTTTGTTCTTTTTTAGATTTCACACACAAAACACTCTCTTGTGCTCCATGCCTTTCCCCTTGAAAAACAGGGAATTCATGTAACATTTACAAATGAACAGCTACACAGCTACAAAGCTGTTCAGGCTTCCTCAGCACTGAACAATAAATATCCGCATTACACTTAGTAACAAGTAAAGTTAATTTGACTCACTAAACATCAGTGTCATCACTCCCAGAATTTTGTTTTTATTTCTTATCCCACACCTCCAAAAGGGCGCTCCAGACTGCATTTTGAAGCACTCAGTTTCGACTTCGGTACTACAGAGGAAGCGCATAACTTTTCAGAGGCTTTACACTTAAACGAGCTTTCTCTAAAAAGTAACAGGAGCTATTTTTCCAATCTGATTACATCATAAATCAATATCTCAGTCATAACTGATGTCTACATAAAGTTTGTCTAGAATAAGTAATTTATTTAGGTTTTTTTATTATTATTCAGTCATCACTACATTTTAGAAACACTATTTTAATTAAATTTTTAACTTCTATTCAGATTTTATACTATGAGGTAATGAGAAGTTCCACCTTATTTTTAGAAGCTGAGAGCACACTCAAGATTTGAGAAAAGAAGCAG